TGGCTTTCAAAAAATATTACGCAACATCTGTTTTCAATATTAAAACTAATAACAAATGTTTCTTGAGCACCATATCAGCATATTAGAATGACTTCTGAAGGATCATGTGACTGAAGACTGGAATAATGGCTATCGAAAATTCAGTTTTGCCATCACAGAAATAAATTAAATTTTTGAAATGTATTAAATGAAAAGCTATTTTAAATCGTAAAATATTTCTCAATATTACTGTTTTTACTATATTTTTTATCAAATAAATGCAGCCCTGGTGCGCATAACAGACTTCTTAAAAGCACTACTCAAATTTTGAACAGCAGTGTAAATATTATGTACTGTATATATATAGTTTAAACTGTATCAGGTGCTATTTATATGTACATACAGTAAGTAGTAAGATAGTATTTGATTTTCTCATGTATGTATACTGTACTCACACATACAGTATATGACGTATATAATTGGCTGTCAAAACATGTATTAGTGTCAATGATCCATGAATCTCCTGAAAATAATTAATTTATGCCTGCTAGCTCAATAAACACAACTCTTGTTACCCAAAACAACACTTACTTTTTAACTAACATTTCTGCAGAAGTACCTGCATTTATGTGGTCAGTGAAGTGCAGCATTTAAAGAGTTACAAACAAGTTAATCTCAGAATCTAATAATAGTAATGTGGGTTGGCCAGAGAGTTAAAAATCTGATATTTAGCATTCAGGCGGGCTGTTTTTAATGCCATCTAGTGGGAAGAGAGGCACGAGCTTTAACAGGAAAAGCCCAATAAATCCCTGGAATTAGCAGAACATTTCCATGTCACTGCCTTAGAGGCCCTTCTAGGATTTGGGCTGAACCGATCCATCAAAGTCTCGATTATCAACCAGCGCTCAAGTCGCGCTAATGCTAAATCAATTATGAATGTTATGATAAGGCCCACAATGAATCTCTGAACTCTTTTTAGTTTCTCCACGGATTGTGGGTGGAAATGTTGTGGCATGTATTGGAATATGGACAATGGAGCTTATTACTGGCATCTGAAAGCATGATGAAATTTAGCCACAATATTTAGTACATAAACATACAAGGAGCGTGGGATGTGTTTTGAATGACTAACATTCAAGTTTTACAGAATCCGTGGAGCTTTCTGTGGAATTCTGAGCTGTGGATTACGTGCAGGTCTGCTTGTGACTAATGCGCTTTTCACTTCGGCCAGTCATAACAAACAGAGAGAAAATCAAGGAAATGGGACAATCAAAGATGCCAGTCACTCCTTCATGCTGCAGTTCCTCTCCATATACTAAACAGAAACCAACAAAGAAACAAAATTACACGTGCAACACACATTTAGTCTTGACCTGGATTTAATCTCCCTATGGCATTTCTTAAAGAGAAAGAAAGAGAGAGAGAGAAAAAAAGACACTTTCCCTAAGAAATATTTCCATTCTGTCAGCTTTTGTCAAATGAACCTTAACCTTCATTTATTCAAATCTGTCAGGCTAGATTCAAGATCAAGACGAACACACAAACAGCACATTCTGCTTAGAAAGGCTAATTAAATCCAGATGATTAAGCAGTTTAGCAATACACTTTGGGGTTTGTGTTCCATCTAAATTCATTATCATTTGGATCTTAAAAATTACATTTCATGGTTCTCCTCATAAAAATTCAATTTCATGACGATAAAGTAGGTAATAGATTTCAATAGCTTATTCCTGAGAACCATTTTATAACCATTATTCAAGGAAATACTCAATGTGGTGACCCAAATATCATGTTATTTTCTGTTTAGAGCCACAACCGTCAATGTGAAAGCACAACATCAGCCTGAAGCCTCAATTTTTATAATTACACAATACACATTATTATTATGTGAATAGTCACAGCTTAATTATATATATATATATATATATATATATATATATATATATATATACACCTGTGTGTGTGTTTTATTATTTGTTAATATATAATGTTATATTACTTACATTACAAATTTAAATATATAGTTATATTCATATTATGTATCTGCGTTATGTTACTGATAAATTTGCAATAAAATGTGATTAAAAATTAATCACCAGATAACAGTCAGTGACGTAAAATAGGCAAGTTGACCAGAAATGACGTTTGTTGTGTGCGGACCAAAAATAGCCACTTTCGTAGGAAGTCAGTCTCACAATAATAATGAACTGTTATGACTAGTCATTGCTGAGTGGGATTTTCTATGTCATTTGAATCACTCTTACCCTTAATCACATCTAAATGGTGAACATCTAGTCTGTCCTGCAGACCCAGTCTGGAACAAACAAAAGATAATGACACATGGAAGACTCAAAATAATAAATCATCAAGTAATAAAGATCTAAATATAGAAGCTTTATATAGTCAAAGGTGCTGGTGGTCACCTGTTTGCATTTTCCATTGTAAGACATACTGCCGTCTGGCTTTGATCCAAAGCAAATACCCTGAGGTTAAAGAATCATGGGTACAGATGTTACAGATGACACGCTACATTACTTGGAAGAGCAAGATAAATAATTAGAAAAAAAAAGACACTGAGTGCAAACCTGTGGAATGCCGTGTAGTAAACTAAGAGAGATGGCTCCAGATCCACAGCCCACCTCCAGACATCGTAAATCAGTCGTGTGCGATTCCTCCTGTATCGACCGGAGGTCCTCGAGAACCAGACTAACCAGCTCCTACACGCACACAAACCAGCGGGTCCAAATGGAAATAAATGTTTTCAAACACACAGCCCGTGTTTATCCAAAAAGTCACGTCCATTTGAAGTCCACTCTCAGTTTGTTGCAAAATTCGGACATGTGCTAACTAGGTCACTGAAGTTTTTCACCTCTGTTTCAGGACGAGGTATGAACACGGGAGGCTTCATCTTCAGGGTCAGGTCTCTGAAGTCCCATTCCTCAATCACATACTGTACAGGCATCCTAAAAAAAACACATCGACAAAGGTCAACAGGCAATCTATCTTCTGGTGTTTTTGCAAATTGTCAGCTTCTTCTTCGTGAACCAGCTACAGTACTTTTAACTACATAATATCAGTCCCAAATCTAGAGTAAGATAGTTTTGTTTTGTGAATTTAAGGAAATATTGTATTAAATGTGTTCATTTATTTGTTCAATTTTGTTTACATCTCATTGTTTCTTAATTTACTTTGTACAATATTGTGGTAACAATCTTTTATTTGCTAACATTAGTTAACTACATCAGTTAAAATGAACTAAAAATGAAAAATACTTCTAAAGCATTTATTAATTTTAGGTAATGTTAATTTCAACATATAATAATGCATTATTAAAATCAAGATGTATCTGTTAATATTATTTAATCTAACATGAACTAACCAACCAACAGCTGTATTTTTAAATACTGTAACTAAAGTATTGTTTATTGCTAGGTCATGCAGAAACTAACCTTATCTAATGTGGCCTTATTGTAAAGTGTCACCAATTTAGTTTTTTTGTGTTTTTTCCATTTTTCAATTTATTATTTGCATACAGGCATTAATGCAATGTACCGGTTGAACACTAGTTTTGTCCTTCGCTAGACATAAATTACAAATGATCAGTGGGTGGAAGTTAAAAGTCCACGGGAATGGTTTAGTGTTAATCTAAAGAGAGTAAATGAATAACAAATAACATTTTGAAGAACTAAATTCAAAACAACTTTAATGAAGTTCTGTGAAGGCCTTCACATGTGTGTACAGGGTCTTAATCATTAAAAACTCAGTAAAGTTGTAGTGAAATGTAGTACCTTGTGAGGCGTTTAGAGCATAATTCCCACACTCTTTCTCTCTCCCTGTCAGTCAGGGTGTCTCTCAGCCTTTTCCTCTGCACACATTCCAGCTTTCAACAAAGACAGACAAGGACACAGTGTCATGGAAAGGGAAATAGGTATTCCTTTGATTTTGTAAAGAGGAAGGAATGGGAGTGAATTAAAAACGAATTTCTTAAAGTACTTAACTTTATTTATTTATTTTAATTCTTAATTCTCATAAACCATTATTTTACACACACTAAAAGCCTGCACACTTGTACTGACAAAACAAGACAATACAAAATCACTGAATACATTCGCGACTCACAAGACAAAAAACACGAAAACACCTTTCTGTCGGGAGAGAGAGAAGCCGCAGCGTGTGAACGCGCCGCCATCTTTTAATCATATTGTACATTTAATACTGTCTACATAAGACTAAACCTCACAGAAACTCACAGTTTTTTCGCCTAGTACATTAGATATGATGTACTGGCTTGAGAGAACAGGCTCTGAAATGCCGTGCAGTGTGAAGTGTTGAGCCCAGTCTGATCGCCTGCTCTGCTGTGATACTGCAGTCTGCTGGAGGAGCAACAGTGCCCTCTGCTGCACTTGACCACAGCCTCACAACACTCTGAAATACAACCAACAACGGCACAACAAAATGTTTTTTTTTTTTTTTATATATATATATATAACCCCACATTGCATATTTCACAGTTTATGCTTATTTGATTAGAGTGATTGTAATTTAAATACATAAGGGTTTAGACACTTACTCTGTGTTTTGACACTCCACTGTGTCTGTGCATTAATCGATTGAGAATCCAAATTGTCTTGAACATTATCGTTCTGTACTGTAAGCGAATCGAGCTAACAATAAACGTTGAGCTGCTATAACATTCGTGGAATAGTTGTCTGAAGAAATGATGTAACTTGCATGTTTTAGCCTGTTGATCCAAGTAACATCAGATGCCATGTGCCCCTAATGTCCGAATCGATCTTATGAGCAGGGTTGCCAGATTTTCACAACAAAACCCACTCCGTTGCTACTCAAAACTAGCCCAATCGCGTTTAGACGGGGGGGGAGGGTTCCCCGGTAAAATCGCATTTTAGGGGCTAAATATCACGTTCTTGTGGTCGCTTAAACCCGCGGCCATTAAAAACAACACGCGGAAACAGTGTTAGAGTAGCCCAATTCCGCGGGGAAACCGCGGACTTGGCAACACTGCTCATGAGTCAGTCGGATCATTTGAATCAGTTCAACGGGTTGACAACAGGAGTTAGGTTCGACGATAAACAAGTGCTTTTTTGGTCGACACATGTATTTAAAGCACGCACTCCTTCCCCTTTACATCTGGTACAACTGTAAGTCACGTTTTATATGGGCTGTTATAATATACCATACATTCCACATAATTCAACAGGACATCTTGCTTTATTAAGATTTAATAGGCAAAGGAAACTTGCATGCTAATTATGAAATAAGGCACACTGATTAATTCACTATCCCAAGAACGCTCAGACCTGTCCGTTTCGAAGTGAGCTGATGGTAAGTGCATTTGAAGCGTAGACTACCAATATCTGTTTGATGGGGCGAAAAAATACTTTAATTAACAACATTATGTCGCTAAAACGAACTGATTGGAATAGATGTCAGGTTCCACTACAATGACGTAAAAGTATACACGAATCATTTCTTGAACTAGTGATTTGAAATGAACTGTTCAAATAAACCGATTCGTGTACATGAAGCGGACTTCCTGTCACTAGTGCGCATCAATGCTCTTACAGATTTCAAAATAAAAGCCATAATAGAATAATGCGGCAACCAGACGAAAGGGACAAACCTTTTCAATGAAAACGCTATGTTTTGTCTATTATGTTTATGCTGCACTCTGTAATTAAATGTGTTAAACTGAATATAATTTTACGCTTTACCCTCAACTGTGTGATTTGAAATGACCACTAGAGAAAACAGGTGCATTACTTCACGTTTAAAGGTGCTAAGTATTAGGTTTTAATTACATATCATATGATAAACTTAATTTAACTCAAACTGAAAACCACTTAAAGTCCATGAATTCATACTTAGGGTACAGCAGGCCTAAAGATTCCCCTCGATTGTTTTTGTGTAATGACAAAAAAAACAATATTGATGGAATAATATGATTTTTTAATTACTAGAAACTCTGTGACACATCTTTGCCCCGAATGTGCCTCTTTTCTTGATTAATGTCACTTTCATAATAACTTCCAGATAACAACTTCTATGTTATTTGGCTATTAGTAATTGTTTATGTACATCTTAGAGCTCAAATTTTATTTCATGCATATTGTCCAGTATTGTGACAACACAAACTTCAAAGACAGAAGTTTTGAAAGGACTTGTTGTCTGCAGACGGAGTTAGAGAAGAGAGAGCTGCAGACTGCAGAGATCACGTGAGGAGAGACTGGAGGACTGGATTGGGGGATGGAGGACTGGTGCTGTCAGCCAGATGGGACTGATTGTTATTGTGTTCTCCATGGGCTGCAGTGTGTGTAGCCTCAGTCTATTTGTGAGCAGCACTACACATGATTTAAACTGTAAGTCCTGTGTTTCCCCTGAAACACTGTCTGCCAGAATGTCTCTCCTTATATGAACAAAGAGGGATGAGACAATAAAAATGAGATTGAGAGAAGTGTAGAAGTGAAAGAAAGAGGACAGAAATAGACAATAAAGGGTGTTAAAGAACAATATCAAAGGAAGGAAAGTGTTTCAAACTATTAAAAGAAAAAAGAAATAGCGAGAAAAAAACATGTAGCTTTTTAGACACATTTTTTTGTCCTTGAAGCAAATCTGTTATAATAGCTCACAGTGTGTGTGTAATTAAGGGAAACTGGTAATGCCTGCCAGGAAAAGTAAGACTGCATTGGTTTCATGGCCTGTGATACTCTACAGTTAAACTCAGACAATTAACCATTAAAAAAACTACCACAAATGCTACTGTTTGTCAGACCTAAGTGATCATTATGAAGTTAATCATAACCTTAACCACTTTGCAAAGTATTTAAAGCAGTTTTTTTTTTTTTTTTTTTTAAGTTTTTTGATGCCAATGGTCCCGAAATATGATGATTTTCTTGTGAGAGATCCCCTTTCTAAAAAAAGGTAGTTATTTTTTATGCATTAAAGACCCATTTATACTGTGAGAAAAAGCATGGTATTATAAAAACATGTGGTTTGCTAAATTAAAAAGGCCTAATTGTTTTTATTTTTATATTGTTACTGCACTGAAGCCAAGGCAACATTTTAAATATTATGCATATAAAAATACTGATTTTGGTTTTTCGACCCATATTACACTAATGTAAATGTAATTTAATGAATCCAATTCAGTGTACAGTTATTTGCAATGTATTGTTCCAGAGCTGTTGGCAGCTGTTAAATTTGACATTTTGTAAAATCTTGTAAACATACTGTGTTGGTTGTGGCATATCAGTTTGAATATATGCCATATCTGATACTGTGGGCATCACTAACTGCCTCCAACACATCTCGTTCTGTCTATCAATCTATCTTCCTCTCCTGCTGTTTTTCTTTCTCACTTTCCTTCTATCTGTCACATGATCTACACTAGACCAACTACATCTATAAAATGCACAATTCAGTAACCTGAAAGGGTCTTGTGAGCAGAAAGTGTTTCACATTTACTGTAAACACAATATTGCATTTTGTTTAGATTAAAAAAAAAAACATGAATATAAAAATGGTATTATATTTAAAATAAATGACCTAACCCATTCTTTTCTTCTTCTTTTTTTTTCTAGAGCTTTAAAAAGTAAGAGTTGGAGTTTGAAAAATGACAGTCTGAAATTGGCCAAAGACATTTCCAGATGCCATTTCCCCATCCTTTAAACTGTCTCCTCCTAATAAAACAAGTGGCAAAACACCAAAAGGAAAAGATAATGTTAGTTCTTTTACATCATTATTTACATTTATGTCAATTCCAGAATGTTAAACTGATTTTAAACTGCATAATATTTTTCTCTATTGCAAATATGACAGAAATAATCTAACCTGGATTAATTTCACAATGACAGGGAATAGCCCACTGTGCCAGATGTGGATGATAAAAGAATGGGAAGTATATGCAGGCACATATTTCGGATTTCTAACCTGCTCTTGGCATTATACTTTGGCTGTAGCTGTGATTATAGCAACATTTATGTAGGATTTTGTCTTGTTTCACGGAGTATGTGTTGCAGTGATTATGAGCAGCTGAAGGTAAGATTTCATCTTAATCCTATAATTTCCGTAAAATAAATATGTAGCATCAGATATTGGTCATGTAATCGAAAGAAAACATAAAACTGTATATACAAATTTTTTTCCAGCTTCTCAACTTGTCCAAATTTCATTCATCTTCAGTGGTCTAATACCCTGGCAGTGGTCCAGACAGTGTCCTCTATGGCACATATATTCTCAGCAGTGACTCATTCTGGTGTTTTGAGCCTCCTGGAGGAAGCTCTCTTTCTCTCTCCGTAATTCTTCAAGCTGAAATACTGAGAAGAACCTCACAATGCTGCTCTGTCCCTCAAAAACACTGAAGTCATAGTTTCCCAGGCTGCTGCCCCCTGAGATGCCTAGAAGTGAAGAAGCGAGAGGAGGGGCACAGAGCTTGGTAAATTGCTTTTGCCATGAAAAAAAAAACAGTATAATACATTCTTGTGCCCCTGTTGGCATCTTCATTGCCCTAATATAGCCGATGATGTTCTATAAAATGTTCCTCAGCCTCCTTCACTTTGCTAAATTAATGAAATTCAGAATTTAAGAATTGCTTCCCTTTGAATTAATGTGCATGAATATGAATTGAATTGGCACCAACCTGTTTGTCTATTTATCTATCTATCTATCTATCTATCTATCTATCTATCTATCTATCTATCTATCTATCTATCTATCGTTCTACCTATCATTCTATCTATCGTTCTGTCATTGTATCTATCATTCTGTCCTTCGTTCTATCTATCTATCTATCTATCTATCTATCTATCTATCTATCTATCTATCTATCTATCGTTCTATCTAT